TGAATCTATGTTTTACTTTTACATAATTAATACTCCTCTGGTCCTTAATATAAGACCCATTTAACTAATTTGATTAGATTAAGAAAGTTAGGTAAGTTAGTTAATTATAAGAAAAATGATACATTTTTCCTGAAATATCATAATTATCTTTTTTAATACCCCTCTCCCTCTTCTACTTGATTATAGTTAAGGAATATCCATAGGAGTAATTTAGAAAAAAAATTGATAAATATAAGAAATGGGTATTATATTTAGAATCAAAACTAACTCAAAAATTAGATCTTATATTAAAGATTGGGAGAATAATTAATTTAAACAAACAGGGCCATGCGTGTCAAAGAAAGGAGGTCCTACGAAGTTGGAATTTTGCCGTGCTGTTATGAGTGGGTAAAAAAGAAATTAACCCGGACGAACATCACATGCACAGCAAATTAAACCATTGAGTAAGGACAAATGCATGCAGATACGGCAAAAAAATAAAGCAACCAATGTCAGTCCAAAAAAGTAAATAAATAAATAAAGCCACCTATGCATGTTAATTAAAGCTACTTTTGACTTTTGACTCCAAAAAAGAAAAAGCTACTTTTGACTCGTCAGTCACAGAATCTCTTTGTCGGCTTTTTAAGCATACGATTCACGTTGTGTTTAGGATCATATAACTATCTCTTTTCCCCCCAAAAAAAAAGGGAAAATTACAGATAAAGAAACTCCAAAATGTGAAATGTCAATTTGGAAAGCTAAAAAAATATAATTACTCATAGGAAAGTTCTTCCCAAATTGAAATTTTAAAATTCAGTGAAATAACAAAAATACCCTTTTGTTTTTTTTTTTAAAAAAACCCAGCCCCTCATCGGTGGCAGGCGATCGGCGACCACCGTCGGCGACTGGCCTCCGGCGACCGCCGACCGCCTCTGGCCACCGCTGCCGGCCACTGGTGTGGTGGCTGCCAGTGAAGGATTTTTGTAACAAGATTTTTTTTTTTTGGAATGGGATAATATTGGTTCAAAGTGACGGGGGTGGGATTTGATGCCACAACCCCTTGGCCACTTGGACCAACAAAAGGGAAAATGGCCATTGGGCTATCAAAGATTTCTTAACCTTATAATACAAGCAAAAATATATGTTAACTCTTTTACTATGACTCCAGCTCGTGACAACAATTTATCTGAGGATGACAAGTCTTAATTGAGAAATAACAAGTCTAAATTTGATATTAACAAAGCAACTTTTCCTTATACATAACAAATAGCAGCATGTGCATTAATTAAAAATGATCATAATTTATTTAAAAATGACACGTCTTTACTATAAAATGGCAAGTCTAAAATTGATATTAACAAGACAACTTTTCCTTATACATAACAAGAAATAGCATTTACGTTAATTAAAAATGACTATAATTTATTTGAAAATAACACGTCTTTACTGGAAAATGATAAGTCTAAACTTGATATTAACAAGACAACTTTTCCTTATACATAACAAGAAATACCGAATAAATTGTTGTTATTTTTCAACAAAGACGTGTCATTTTTAAATAAATTATGATCATTTTTAATTAATGCACATGCTGCTATTTGTTATGTATAAGGAAAAGTTGCTTTGTTAATATCAAATTTAGACTTGTTATTTCTCAATTAAGACTTGTCATCCTCAGATAAATTGTTGTCACGAGTTGGAGTCATAGTAAAAGAGTTAACTTATATTTTTGTTTACATTATAAGGTTAAGAAATCTTTGATGACCCAATGGCCATCCTGTTGTTGGTCCAAATGGCCAAAGGATTGTGGGATCAAATTCCACCCACGCCACTTTGAACCAATATTATCCTATTCCCAAAAAAAAAAAAATCTTGTCACAAAAATCCTTCACCGGCAGCTACCACACTGGTTGCCGGCGCTGGTGGCCAAAGGCGGTCGGCGGCCGCCGGTGAGGGGCTGGGTTTTTTTTTTAAAAAAAAAGAACAAAGGGCATTTTTGTCATTTCACTTAATTTCAAAATTCCAATTTAGGAAGGACTTCCCTATGGGTAATTACATTTCCTTAGCTTCCCAAATTAGCACTTCACATTTTGAAGCTTCTTTATCTGTCATTTTCCCAAAAAAAAAAATGATGCGAATTTATTTTTAATGACGTTGAAGATATTTTTTTACATATATGAGGGTAGTGGGTATGCATACGGAGTAATTATTACAATGGTCTTCCGGAGAGTTTTAATGCATGATTAGGAAATCAATTACCTTCAGACTTTCTCCCAAATTTCTCAAAAGGTTTTCACCCAAAGCTTAATCAAAAAAATAGAAATGCTTCAAATTTAATAAATGCATGATGGGCAATTATATATACCTATTCTACTCTGACGTTGAAATTAGTCACGCATCACACATAGGGAAAACATAATAAGGAGGCACGAATACAAGTTCTTCAAGATCATATGGGAAGAATTTTCAAAGAAAATTATAGTTGATACAAAATGAAGGGTGACTTTAGTTTGCGTACACTATACTATTCTCAACAAGATTTAAATAATTCCTATTTTATTTTTATTTATAAATTATTTTTAATATTTTTAACTGAAACTAAACAAAACCTTAAAACTCATTAATTCTATTTTAAATTAAATAAGTTTTCAACTTGACCACCATCAAACGTAAATAGTTTAAAAATTAAATAACACGTACGAACATTTAATGAAGGATAAAAAGAAGAAATTATAAGGAAAAAAAATTAATAACACGCCTTATAATTAGGGTTGGAAAAGAGTTAGGACTCTTTTTTGATTCAGATCTAAGAATTATATGCATGCAACAGGAAATAAACAGGGCCTATGGGAATTATACCATGGGGGAAGATAATTAAGGTGGTCTTGGAGTTGATTCAGGCAACCAAGTCAATGGAATTATGTCGCCGAAACTTCATGGAATGGAACGCACCATTTAGGCCTCCTTCAAGTTACTAATTAAAACTTTCTTTCTTTTTTTTGATGTTCTCAATCTGAACACTGTGGGAAAAAAAAAAAACTGTCCAATTAATATCTTTCTGATTTTGAACATCTCTGGTTTTTTTTTTTTTTTTGCCAACAATTATGATTCTCATACCTCGATACTTTGTGATTAAGATTTAGGGAAAACTAATTCATAAATCTTTATAGTTACTTATTTTTAATCAGGCTTTCGTAATTTTTTTTATTAGGTTCTTACCTTTTTAAAAAAAAATTATAGGTATTAATTGGTTCCCGTACTTACAAGTTAATTTGTAAGAGAAATAAGGTTAGTAATTAATGACATTATCCTCATTCAGCATATACTTGGATTAATTAAATTTGTCACATAGATGTAAATAAAATCAAAATCAACCAAATTATACATTAAATATAAATGTATGGAGACGACTTTATGGATAATAATATCTTATTATGTTAGTAACAAATCAATAAATTTATTTCATCATTTTATCTTTAAAAATCCTTTTTTATTTTATATTTTGTGGCAGAATCCATACCAGTTATATATGAGATTAGAAACTAATGCCCATAATTAAAAAACCTATCCGGACAAAAAAGTGCAAAGATCTAATTAAAAAATAAGGTGAAGTTACATGAACTTAGGGACTAAGACACGAAACTAAGATTAAAACAAATCTGAATACGGAGACTTATATTTAAGAAAGGAATAGTATAGTCAAACACGAGACTCTAGCTTATCATTTATTGAAGAAAATATATTATTGTAACCTGTAATGCAAAGAAAGTGTAATGTTTTGGTTGTTTGGTTGAAGGAACAAATGAAATTGAAGTGAGGGAATAATTTTGAAAACGCATGGTTCCTTTTCAGGTTCAATTAATCTCTCACTGCTTGCCCTGTCCCGCTAATTTCGTTATATTATGATGTATCTGCATGGGCATCCACTTTGAATTTGATTACTCAAGAAGCCATAAGCCTGAAAATATGAGATGGAGAACCACGAGCACATGCAGAATATAATGTGACGCGTGTTGTGAATAGAGCGACCAAAGTACGAATACCCTATTTTGAAAATAAGAAGCGGAAGATTAAGAGCTTGTTTAGTTTCTTATTTTCAAAACAATTTTTTGTTTTTAAAAATGAGAAAACCAAAAAAAAAAATTTGCTTGACAATTTGTTTTTAGTTGGTTGTTTAAAAAAAACAGTAATATTTTTTTAAAAAGCAAAAAAAATAAAACAACTTCTAGATTTTTTCTGTTTTTGTTTTTGTATTTTTGTATTTTTTTTATTTTGAAATATTGGGAAAACATTCTTTTCTTCATATCTACCCCCGACATGTATCACTGTTAGTGACGGTCACCACTTGCCAAATATGATTTTTTTTTGTATTTTTTAAAATAATTATCCAAACAAATTTTTTGCTTTTTTATTCTCAAAAATTGTTTTTAAAAAACAGTTTTATAAATTTTTTGGGAAAAAGAAAACCAAAAAAAGAATCAAACAAGCCCAAAGTTTTCTTTTTTTCCTGCGGACGTTGCGAAGGGGGGAGAGAAGACGCACAGAGTACGTGAAGAAAGCGACTCATTCAAACCATAAGCGAAGATTAAAGACCTTTTGTGCCAAGAAAATCCACATTGACAGAGTTATGCAAGGGAAAAAAGACCCAGTGTTGCAGACCAAAATGAAATGGAACCTTGAGAACTTTAGATAATTCCAAGAGAAAGGAAAACGAATTAAGAACTAGGCGGCGCTGATATAGAGATTTATATCAAAAAGGCAATTAAGAACTTTAGATCAGAGTATGCAAATAGCACACCAGAATGAGCATATATTTGCACAGATCCATAATCACAACCAATTGCTACGGCTGGATACTCAAGTGTTTTAAGAGAATTGGGTGAGTCATAATCTTCTTCGCCTCAACTGGTTTCATGTTCTTCGCGATCCTTGTCCCTATTATTGAGACAAATGATTCATTCCTACTTCCTCATGTGATCAGGCTCTGCTTCAGTATTAATAACGTCACTTTTAGATGGTGCCAAAGTCATCTGCCATATAATGAGACACCAGCCGAACCAAGCACAGCCTGCAACAGCATTACCAAATACTAGGCAAGTCCTTAAATGACATGTACTAACATATGTAATCAGGAAGCAGAACAACATATTGACAATGACCAGGGCAACCATTCGGATTTTTTTAAAAACGTTCTTTTGCTTACAAAACGAAACATAATTTCAGCAATTTAAAGATACTTGAGGCCACAAGACTGATAATATTTGACTCTCTGAAGTTTTTCTTTTAGTCTCGAAAATTCTTCAAACTTGGGAACCAAGCCATTGTTTTAAGATGCCGAGCGCTTTTTAACTCGATTAACCCCACAGCCACAAGAAGATATATGAGCGGCCTTCCAAACTTAAACGTCAGGTCCAAATGCAAAGTTATTAAAAGGCAAACGAAGTATAGCTTATAAAATGCTAAAGAAAAAGCAATTATTCCGCACCTTCTGTGTCAGGAGGAAAATGTCCAAATCTTCAGGGAGCCATCTTTACGCGCGGCGGCGACCAGCGAATCATCGACGCCGATGACCATAGACACTAAAGGAGAAGGCTTTCAATCTACTGAACTGATTTTATAAAGTTGGTTCATTCTAGCTCACATCTATTTCTTATATCTGCAAACTCCTTCAATGGCTTCCTCAACCTCAAGCTCCACATATTTCTTTGACCATCAGAGAAGATGCAGCAATGAGGTAAATGGAGACAAAACATATTTGCACATAGGAGGTGAATTCGCATTTTCTTTCTCAATCTGCTTGGTTAAGAAGTAATCACCTTAATGTCCAGTTGAATCCAACTCTTCAAGATTCAACAGAAAGAAAGTCGTGGCTGTAATATGCCGAGTTCAATAGTCGAATGTAATCGTCACTCCCATCATCTTAGCTTAAAACAATAAAGAAAGGTTAAGATCAGCAATGCAATTTGGACTCCTCAGACCTCAAGAATAGAATCAAATCTCAATAGAAAAAAAATGTTAAATTAATTATATGCGTGTCAATAGTACAACATAAGGATGCGGTAATTAGTACGTACAAACGTGCAAAAATCATGTCTATAACTACTAATTAAAACCAGAGTATACCATTTTGAGGTGGATGCACGAGAGTGATGTATGAAGTTATAGTGTTTAGATCAATTCAACCTGAGAGCTTTAAAACTCAAAATCATTTCTTCAAATTCATCGAAGCAAGCTGTGGTATTTGCGCTTTCGAGAGAGAGAGGCCGCTTCCATTGCATTAGAGCCAGGCTGAGGAGGCAATGGCAATTGATTTTGTTTAATGTCACCATTTTGATATTCATCCGCAGATATCGGGCATACCCCGCACCTTCTGATCTTTACCATTCTGTCATCATCCGAACGAATGTCACCTTTTGATCCGTATGAAGTTATAGTGCATTTGCGCTTTCGAGAGAGAGAGGCCGCTTCCATTGCATTAGAGCTAGGGTGAGGAGGCCATGGCGATCGAATTTGTTTAATGTCACCATCTTGATATTCAACTGCAGATGTTGGGCATACCCCACACCTTTTGATCTCTACTATTCTGTCATCATCCGAATCATCCGAACAAACTTTGAATTTAACTTTAAGCTCCATGTCGCTCTGACCATTTCTTTTCCTTTCTTCAATTTTCCTTTTTAGTTTTCCAAGTGAATCAGGATCATACCAAAGATGAACATGCTTTGAGAGCGTTGGCCCAAGCAAGTAAAACCTGTTTTTAGCGCCCCTGGAAGCATATTTACCATCAATAAACCATTCGGCATTAATTTCTCCTCCCCCCTCGAATGGTAATTCAGAAAAGACGACGCAAAAAAGGAATCCCCCATCCTCAGAATTTGGAATCGAACCGAGATTCACAGACACCGAAGACCCTTTATCCTTATGCATGAACCACTTTGGAACTCTTTTTCCTGGATATTCCACTATAGCAGAGTCATAAGGGGCTTTCTTCATCTCAAGTAGCACTCTTGCCTCAGCAGTTTTGATTGCCCGTCGATTCAGCTTCTTGCAATTTCTGAATAAAAAGCGCGGTGCCTTATCTTTTCCTTCTTCACCTTCGTTTGTCAAAGGTGAATATTGTATGGTCTCAAGGGATACGCACTCAGTGGCAATTAATTGCAAGAGAGAGGGAGGGAGCTCCGGTAGACAACGAAGCCTTTTACATCCATCCAGTTCAAGACGATGCAGGCATGAAAGATGTTTAATGCTTGAAGGCAAGGTCTGTACATGAGTCTCTGAGAGATTTAACTCACGTAGTGATGACAGCAACCCGATGTCATTAGGAAGTTCAGATAATTCATTGCAATACGGAAGCCCTAGTCTTTCCAAAGCACCCATCTTATCACACTTGGACAGGAGACGTGATGCTAGCTCATCACACCCTCCAGCATCAAGATTTCGAAGGTCACGCAGCTTAATCAATTTGTGAATGCTTGTCACATTTCTGCACTCGGCTATAGCTAATGAATGAATTTTGCTGCGATGCCCACTTGATGAGCGCAACTTACCACTGATGGCAGTTCCTGAAAGTTGTAAATAGAGCTCTTCATTTCCTGAGGTCACTGAAAATTCCTCCAGACTTGAGCAATCACTTACATCGAGCCCAATGAGAGATTGGAGATGGGTATCGCTTTTAAGGCTGGTAAGGGACTTGCAATAAGTTAGCGATAAATCACGCAGGCTGCGGAGAGATAAAATAGATGGATGAACACTCCGCAATTTTGGGCAATAATCGAGACAAACATGTTCAAGACGTGTGGCCTTGGAAAAATCTGGGAGTTCAATCAAGTTTTCTGATCGATGAAGCTCAATTTTGCTTAAGCTCACAAGATCCTGTGAAAACATAAATTACATGATAAGATTGGTGGCCCAAAGCCAAATTAAATTACTCATCTATTTCTTTTTATAAGGTTTCGCTCTCTGTTTTTCTCAGAAAATAGTTGAAATTAGCTATTGTCAACAAATTTTACAACTTTTCATATGATCTTGATCAATATTCCCTCCGATGAAAGATATCAAATAACTAAATCACATAACTTCAATAAAATTAGTTAAAGATAGTAAATAATAAAAGAACATGTAACTTATTTTCTTAAAACACGTTTGTCTATGAAGAGGATAAGTGAGATAAAAAAATACGTAGAAAAAGAGATATGAGAGAATAAGTAGAAAAAAAAAGAATTAGAAAGATATATAATTAATTAAAAGTAAAAATAAAAATGATGTATTTAATGATTAGGTAAATCCAAATTATAACTTATAAAATTAAAAAAAAAAAAAGGCTTCAAAGATTTGATGCTTATAGTTCAACAGAGATAGTAACCTTTATAAGTAAAGGTCATGGAGCTTAGTGTGAGGGTGAAAGACGAAGGCATTTATTTGGAATGGGTTATCCATATTTCATTGAATTTTGTAATAGATTTTATCTGGACCTTATAAAAAGGGCTAAGCAGAGCGTATTTAACAAAGATTTTCCAACTGATGTATTAACATATTTTGTAAGAAAAAATATAAAATTCACCTGCACTCCATCCCAAAGTCTTGTCAAACTGCTGAAGGGCATATCCAATCGAACAAGACTTTCAGCCTTAAATGTCGCTGGCAAGGACGCTAAAGGGCACCCCATCCAATCCAATAGCATGAGATTTCTTGACAGAAACTTCAGACCAGAAGCATTTAACTTGTTCCTAAGCTGTCCATTCAAATCTCCATAAACCTTAAGAAGCTTCACATTAGGCATTGAACGAAATGCTTTAATAATTACGCACATCTCGTCAACTTCTGAAAGTTTAATAATCATGCCTTCAATACCTCCCTAACCAAAAAAAAAAAGTAATAAAAATATTATATAAGTCAAATAGGAATTTGGAATTCAACAATCTTTTTAATAAATAAATGTAGAAATTTCACACTTACCATATTTTTCTTCAATATTTCAGAACTTCTCCTGAAAATCCAAAATATTTTGCACCATGTAGGATATTTTAATGATTCTTCACAGACAATTTGTTTACCCATTTGTTTTATCAGACTGTGCATACATATTTTTCCTTCATCAATATCTAAAAGCGCTTTATCTTCAAGTCTCCTCAATCCAATGTCGGTTGAATAACCGCATGGATCTAACAATTTTTTTACATCCTCAGCATCATAATAATAATTGAAAAAACATGCGACGTGCAAGACAATATCTTTCTCTTCCTGATCAAGTCCTTCAAAGCTCAATCTGAGGATATCAATGACTTCTGGACGAAGTAATTTTTTAAGCTTTGCCAATTGGCTTTTCCATGCTTCTTGATTTTTGCCACTCAAGGTGGAGCCTAGAATCTTTAGAGCCAATGGATTTCCACCTGCATATTTAGTCACTTCTTCTGCTAGCTCTCTTATCTCTGGGTCAACATGGCCATTTCTAAAGGCATTGATGGAGAATAGATCAAAAGCTTCATCAGGTTTCAAACCACGAAGCACATATACATCATCCACTTCATTGCCAAGTGTTTGCTTATCTCTGGTTGTTATCAAAATTTTACTACCTGATCCAAATTCATGTCTTCCAACTAACTTTTCTAAATGTGTAAGATCACCAATGTCATCGAGCACAATGAAAACCTTTTTCCGACTAAGCCTACTGACGGTATAAGGACATATTGCATTGCCAATGTGAGATTCTTTATCCCCTAATAACCTCCAAACAAGTTTTTCCCTCAAAGCATCTATTCCATGTCTCTTTGATTCTTCCCTTACGTTTTTCAAAAAGCAAGACCCTTCATATGGCAAATGCAATTTGTTAAACAATGCTTCTGCAAGAGTTGTTTTGCCCAAACCGCCCATCCCCCAAATTCCAATAAATTGGCAACCACCAATTTTTGAACCTTTGTCCAACAATGATTCTACATCTGCCATTCTTTCGTGAATTCCAATCAAGCCTTTTAGATAATCTTCACTTTGATACCTAAGGCCCAACTTTTGTATGACACAATTCACTATTTCTTTAATTAGCTCCGCTTCATCCCTACACACCATTGAAAAAATAAAGAGGCACCAAATTTAACACCACATTATCTGTTCATTTCAAATTTTCAACTATTCCTAATGACATGTAACTATGAAGATTTGCCAATTTTTAAAATTTTTAGAATATTTTTCGAGAAATATTACTTATATTAGATGACATAACTAGATATATATAAAATTCCAGCTTCATCTTATGGCTACAAATGCACCATCATTACCATAGTGAGACAGGGATTTAGATTAAAATATCATAACAGTAAAGTTGATGGACCCGGTGGACTGGTTAAGCATAGTGTACAAGAGAAGCTATTCTCTTTATGATCATCACCGTAACTTCCATTAAATGCCTCAAAGATTGATTTAATTTAGCCCCAGGCATGGAAGAGAATGATAAGAGGAAGATCATAAATATGTAGTTACCTATTGAAGCTACAATGCCAACCAGACAAATTGGCAGCTCGAGTAAGAGCCTCCCTCCACTTTTGCAGTTGTTGATTGTTGATGTTTATTTTGCGCTCATGTTCTTCAAATGCTCTCTCGTAACTCCTAGACTGCTTCCTCACATGTGAAGGATCCACTCTATGGAACACCGGCATAACAAGGTGATCTTGATTTTTGGAGCACTCGAATATTTTTGCAAGCTCCTTCAGGCACCACGTGGAAGATGCATAGTTTTCTGAGAAGATCACAAGGTACAGAGTTGAATCTTCAATGGCTTTCTCAAGAGACGGCCATACCTCATCTCCCTTCTCAAGTCTATAGTCGATGTATGTATCTATTTGGTTTGTGCGAAGAGCTTCATGAAGGTGGCTTGTGAAGTTGAAGCGGTTGTCCTCACCTCTGAAGCTAATAAAAACATCATATTTTTTTGGTGATTGAGAAGATGGAGCAGAGGAAGAAGATGAAGCCATATCAGATTGCTTTGCTACGGTAAGCAGGAGAGAATTGGGAGTGCTTTCAGTTCAGATCTAAGAACGATTGGTAATAGGAAACAAAACGGCCTAAGAGGAAGATATATAAGATTTAGTGTAGTACGTTGAGTCAACCAAGTCAATGAAAATGGAACAAAATGAACAATAAATAATCATAAATTTCAAAGAAAGGCGGTCCCACAGAAAGAAAATATTACAGAGAGAAAGGAAACTCCGCTGACACTTTCTCCAAAATGTTGAAAGCTTAATCAAGAAATGGTCCAAAAAGAAAAAGAAAATCAAATTTCCCCAAGAAAATATAAACGTCTGCGGTCAAATGTCCTAATGAAATTTGGTTTAATAAAGCACCATAATTACACCTCTACTCTTATTTATGTGGCATGTTTAGTCTTCGCCTCTGGAAATATAAGATTCAACAAATACTTATTTTATTGAAAAAATAATGACATATATTATCAACAAATTTAAAGTGAAAGCCGGAGCTAGTAAGCATTAGAGTTTTAACATTTCAAAACTGCAAGTTTTGACAATTTTTAATTATATTTATTATTAGCCCTCATTTCCTCTCCTCTTCACGAAGCAAAAAGCAAGTCAATTGCGTGCAGAGGGGGATGTGACTGTGAGTAATAAACACGGAGGAATAAGGTACGGATTGCGCGTGACAAGGGGATAGCTCACCCCCAATTGGATCACAGGATCACATGCTTTTTGTCTGAAAATAATATTGAATAACGACATACAATACGCCGAAAACAAAAGCAAAAGTGCCGGAAATTCCAAGGCCACGCACATGGCTGATGGTAAAAAGCTTCATAGACAGTGATGTCTCATCTTGAGGAATGATGTTAAATAATGTTTTTGAATAGAATGTCCGTTATGAATAAAATAAGACTAAAATACCCTCGGTTTTTTATTATAACATCTAATTTTTTGATAGGTCTGTTACCTTTTTTTAGGATCCCCTTTGAGTTTGTCTGAACATTTAATACATTATTACCTATTTTACTCTTAGTTTAATGCATTCAATATATTTTCTTTTTTCTTTTATCTCATTATTACTTTCTCATATTTACCCATTTATATATAGGGTTATATTTTTAAAAAAATTATATTTACTACGTATTAATTTCTTTTAACTAATTTTAACTGTTTTTTTAAATTACATAATTTAGTTAAAAGAATCTTATAACAAAAAGGACAAAATAGGACATGGCTTTACCACATGCCGCTTTACCGAGTGGTATGCGTGAATGCAAGCGTGGTATGTATTGCAGGGTTGAGTCCACCTTCTTGTAACTCAAAAAAAAAAAAAAATACACGGCTTTTCTTAATTTTATTTAAAGTTTTATTTTAGTTTTTAAATTTTAAAAAGCATAAATTTGATTTTTTTTTACCTTAAAATTATTAGGCTTAGATGATATTTTAAAAATTAAACTTAATATATTAGTATTTAAGAATATTTTATCGATAGTTAAGACCTCAATGTCATCATTTTTTGTTAACAATTTTTGGATCAAATGACTAAAATTATATTTTTTAAAGTTAAGGGATCAAATTGAAACTCTTTATAAAGTTAAAAGACTAAGGGCCTATTTGGATGATGGTGAAAAACTCTTATAAGTATATTTTACGTAAGTTGAGACACAGCTCCTTTCATATATTTGTTTCGTATTCCGTAAATTACGATTAAAAAGCTACTTATAAGCTGCTCCAGACAGGTCCAAGTGTACTTTTTAGCATATCATGGACAATCTCATGGAGCTCTCAGGCGACATTCACCACAACTTCAGTTTGTTAGTACTGGAAGCTTCATCAGTCCTCTGCTGCTTGGACGACATGGCTCTGGTGACGAGACCGTCGAAACGGCAGAATTGAAAATGCACAAAATATAATAGAGAAGTGGTGCTCGGGATGAGATCAGAGTATAAATAGAATGGAAGTAACGTAGCGATTTCCGAAATATGAAATCACAGAAGTTTAAGAGGCATGATGGTATCACGAACCGTTTAAAATACTACTACCTCCGGTACTAATTATAAGAACTAGTTGATTAATTTGAGAAGATTAAAGAAATAAGTTAAGTTAGTTATTTATAATAAATAGGTGTTGTCTTTCCTAAAATATTCTTACTAATCAAATATATTAGCTATAACTACAATTATTAGAAGGACTACTTTGAAAAAAATACAAAAATATTAGAGACAGAATGGATTGAGATCTTATATTTATGACCAAAATAAAAAATCAAACGAGACCTTGCATTTAAAAAACAGAGGTAGTATATTTGCCGGTTTTAAGATGAGAGCCGTCAAATATTGGTTTCATTTGTTATTTATTAAAAAATGCAATAATATGTGACAGCTAAGTTGGTTAGAACCGTCAAGTCCTGATTAAACATACTTAACCGTCCATTTTATAACTATGACATATTTGTTTGTGTGATCTTCGCCTTATCATATTTATCATATTTGACGGTCCTACGTCATAACCGTCTTCTATTGAACTTCATATGTAGTGAAAATTTGTAACAGAACTTCCTGTGGACATCTGCTCCTACACTCTTTATATTGGTTGTCTGAATTTAATTATGCGTAGGCCAAATAATTTTCCCACTGTTATCCATGCTGTCGAAAGGTTCTTCTCGACGATTAGCTTGGCTGCCGTGTTAGTTCCTTCATCATAACCAATGACAACCCTGCAGAGAAACAGGTGAGACAATGAATGTATAACGACTGCGAAACTTGAAAGGAATCAAACGCCACATTATATTTCAAAAGACGGAAGAGCCGAGGAGCCGCTGGAAAATTACTTCCCGGAAGATTGTCCAACCAAATGCACTAAGTCACTGGACAATTTTGATTTTTTTTTTTCTGGAGCCAGATTTTCAGCATACCAAACACGCTCTAAGAGATTGTTTGAAATCCTAAGGTATTTTTAAAAAGTTATTTTTGTGTAAGTTGAAATAAATTTTTTTATGTATTATTTTATATGCTGTAAAATTTCTTTTTAAATTATAATTTGATTTCCACATAAATACTTTTTACATTGACGAGGATCACTGTTGATTGGTTGGCTTTTGGTGGAGGCTAAAATAATAATTACTCATATGCATTATTATGGGGCAAATTATTGACTAACGACAGGTAATATAATGCGGGAAAAGCAAAGGCAAAGTGCCAGAAATTCCAAGGCCCACACACACAGGCTGATGGTAAAGAGCCTCATAACTCATAAGCCATAAACAGGGATGTGACTCCTTCTGGAGGGATTTCTTTTTAGCTTGAATGTTAATACTCCGGTGCTTATTATAGGTAACTTATATATTTTTATTTATTATTTCTGATTTTAATTATAAAATTTTATTTATAAATTATAAACGAAGTTTTATAATTAAAATTAAAAAATAATTTTTAAATCTTCAACGATGATGACCCCCCTCCTCACTAACAGCTCTAGAGTTGTGAGGCCACTGGCAACCGGTGTCGGCAACAACTTTTTCTTGTGTTTTTTTTTTTTTTTGCCAAAATAGTTCATGTGGGATTTAGTTCTAAAAATGTTTGGTGACCAGTGAGTCACCCAAACCCATTTGTTATAACATTAGAAAATAAAATACTTCCTCCCATCTTAATATAAAATCTAATTGACTAATTTAAATATATTAAGAAAGCTTGTTAGATTAATTATTTATAATAAATATATCTTGTTTTTCTAAACTAGCATTGATAATCAAATGTGTTAGCTTTAACATCTGATAAAACTTTTAACATGTGTAACTATTAAAAGGACTACTTTAAAGAAAAATAAATAAATATGAGAGACAAAATAAATTAGTGTCTTATATTTATGACCAAATTAAAAGTCAAATTAATTCTAATATTAAGAACTCGTGGTATAAGATAACTATCCAAACAAAAAATCTCGATCAAAATAATTTATTACACTTTTAACATATTAAGTATTAACAACATTTGCAATAAGTTTCACCACTTTATTAATGACATTTACAACAATTTTTTTTCCCACAATTTCAACACTTGAAAAAAAAATATATAGAGAGCCCAGTTATATAAACATTGACAACTTTGTAACGAGCTTCGCCACTCTCTCACTGTGTGAAAAACAATGAATAGGTCTCAAAATCAAAGAGGGAAAATGAATATATAATGACTGCGAAACTTCAAAGGAGTCAAACACAACATTATATTTCAAAAGAGGAGCCTCTCTGAAGTTAGTTAAACCTTTCTTTTATGTCCTTTGCAATGAAAATCTGGAAGATGTTGACTAACTCAGCCCATTTCAGTCGGGCGGAGTTTCATTGATTTCAAAACTGAACTTGAAAAACAATTGATCCCCAAAGAAAGCTAAAGAATAAGAACAAGTAATTTCAGTGGGAGTTTTATTACAGATGGATGGTTAGAGGTGTGAAGGGATGACAAGATCAATCTTTATTACGAGGTAAGTTGAATCTCCCATTATTGGAGCTTTATATATACGAACCTTGATTTAGTTTTCTTGTTTGATTTCGACATTCATCTGTTAATACTTTGGTTTGTTATAAATTTTATACTTTTCATGATTAGTGGTGCTCTAATCTGTACTCTTCTCTTCAATTATCCCTCGCAATTGTGAAGGAAGCTCTCAGATATACCAGAGATGGTCAAATTTTCTAAGGGCTGGTCAAAAAGAAAAAGAAAATCAAATTTCCCAAGAAAATATATACGCCTGCTGTCAAATGTCCTCATAAAATATGATTTGATAAAGGGAGAATTATAACCAAGTCCCATAAAAAGAAAAAAAATTACAAAATAAGTCATAAATGTTATCATTTTTTATTATTATATTGAGACCTTTTAATAATTATTTTTTTTGGTAGAATTTGATTGTAATTTTTTATTAAAAAGCACTATGATTACACCTCTCTTGTTTTTCCCCTCCGCAGCATTGGAAATAACAGTAATAAACCCGGAAAGCAAGTCAAT